TAAGACATATTTGTCGGGTAAAGGGACGTTGAATAAGACGTTATAACTAGAGTAAAGGGGAATTACATAAGATCTAATTGAAAACAAATATATATATATGAGCTAATCGATCATGTTCATATTATATGGGATCAAATTATCCGGCTTCGACTGAGAACGCGCATTAATATCAATTGGGATGGCGGCGTTGATTACAATATTATGTAATAGCTGTTTGTATCGTTCCGTGCATATAAAGATTTTTTGTACCGAAAAACATATTAATTAGTTATGGTATTAAAACATGGTGGCTGATCGACGCCTTAATATAATAATATGTAAACGAGTGTGTAATTTATTCGACGTCGTAGTCGTTTTCTGTCACTATATGGTCAGTGACCGTCGAAGCTGTAGGAAACGTATTTTAGTGCTCTTGAAAATTATGCAGAACCCATATCCACCACGCCCAGCACATTTTATAATGCAATAGGCCACTATTCGCCAAAACAGTGTATAGGTTTTCTTTTGTTTGCTCGCGCGATTCGCATAACCCTAGAGTAAGAACATTACTCCTTAGACCTAGGTATGTCAATAGTCGTTAGGCGCCATCCGCCATCAAATTTCGCGCTTTAATTAAATGCTAATATATAAAGTTTTTTTTTTAACTTATAAATAATAAAAACCAGCTTACATGCGAGAAAAACACAAACACACACATGTTTTTTTAATATTATATTTCCATACAGATCAATTAGTACATAAATTTACTTTTAAAATATTCACACATAAACTTCTGCATAAATATCGTATAATGTGTATTCATAATTAATGAACGCAAATGGTTCACGTCAACAGGAACTCTGTTATCGACTAAAATGTAATTTTACATAATTGGTTCGCTGCGGAAATTCGTTTTTTTTTTTCACAAACATGAAATAAACTGACGCCAACATGAAATAAAAGTGAACGGAAAGAGCTATGTATTAAGGAGCAAATGTTTGACATAATTTTATCTAGGATCCATTTGGAATATACAAACTTGTTTAAGAAAAAAATAATATTAAGTTCTCTTAGTCACATAACTTTTAAAGTTATTTTTATCCGAGTCATGGGCAAAGAGTTAGGATAAACTATAACTGTTGTTGAAGTAAGTTTCTGACGCATTCATTGAACGGATATCCCACCGGATTTTCACCATTCCCGTCTCTTCTAGCCAACTGTTATTTAATATAAAAAAAAGTGATATTATAGTAGTTATGCCTACACTCTATGGAATACTTTAAGGTGCAATTAAAATTGTACTAAAGTGTCTATAATTGTTTCATTTGGACGAGATCGTCGATCGCTTGTTTACTGTTGAAATTGGTTTTCGACATAATTTATGTATGATAAGGAAATGAGCTTGGAGAGCATAATACAGGGGACGGGAAATATTTTAATAACAAAGTAGGGCGCCTAAACAATCTTGAATAAAAAAACCACTAACCATTTAACCCGGTAACTGACTTAAAATAATTATTATTCCAGAAAGTACCGTGCGTTTAGACTTTTACTATTGTCCGAAAAACTGGGTCTACGGTACAACAACAATAATATTAATAATAATAAAGTACCATGTGCGTTAATCAGCTATGTGTAATTCGTGTTGTGGTGGTTTCTAACAGCGGTCGAGGACGGGAAACGCGACCCGTTTCGCATTTGGCATTGTGTACCGTGCTGTAGCCCAAGGGCTTAGAGCTTTTGTACGGTTTTGTCGCTGTCGAAACCCGTTTTAAAGGCCGATAAGTACACCTTTTGGCGGTGGTGGACGGGCACACCGCCCACGCCTAAGTAAACGTCGTCTGTATCGCCGGCCAGCACGCTTATAATAACGTTGTATTATTAAGGTAATAAATCAAAGGGTGTATATACATACACCTAGCAATATGGGATAACGTTTTGGCGCACGGTTTGACAACATACACGGTGCACACGTATTGAGAACGTTGCCGGTTTTATGCGTGTCTAGCATATACATATATATATATATATATACCTATATGATGATATATGCGCGGTATCGATATAAGACGCGAGATACAACCTGATGTGTTTGCACGTCTGGGACAATGCGCCTCTCTCGCCGACGGATCGGCGTATGGATATGGGTATAAGTATGTAAGTATATAGTAAGCGCATATAAGGTGTACGGGAACGGTTGGATACGAAACGGACGGATCAAAAAGCGCGGGCCGACAATATAATAATATATACAGGTTGTGACCCTATGAGATGTTGAGTGGCTCACGAAAAAAAAAAAAAAATCACCCTGTAATATTGTTGGTATTTGGAATATTTTTGTTAATTTTTACACATTTGCTTGTGTTTCTGTGCGACTTCGGTTATACTAAGGTTATACCAGAGCGGCAACTCTTCGGGAAATCGACAACACCGACAGTGGACGTGAACGCGAAATTAGATTTATTGTACTCGCAAAGGGTAGCGGTCCGCGGACCGCCCGCCCCGCCGGTCGATTTCCAACTTAAAGGTCATCTTTGTTCGCGACAACAATAAAAAATGTTTACTTGATTATAAAAAAAAAAAAAAAAAGCAATATATAACGTCGTAATATTTTTGTACGTAAAGAACGGAAAAGGAAAACGCCGCATTCATTTGTCATGCACACTATTATAATACCTATATATAATATTATCATACTATGTATGTATATACGTATTAATAACACTGGCCTTAACCGAAAAGCAATTTCGTTAATTGATTCGGGCGAATAAATTAAACGAATACAACGGTTGTAATAATAGTGTGCCTGTATATGGTATTGTATGTATATATATATATATACCTACCTTTTGGGAACTTGTGTTTGGGGTACCAATTGACCCGTTTTTAAGTTATTGTTATTGTTTTTGTTAAAAACAAACGGCCGAACGTTGTAAGCTACTGCTATTGGTCGGTGTACAATGTGTCATTAGGGTTTGCCAATTGTGATAAAAATCTTCCAAAAAAATATCATAAAAATGTTTTTGCAACATATCATGTCTTGTCCAACCGTTCAAAACATCAAACAAATTTTATGTTCTAGGGAAAAACATAATATGTAGGTAGAAAAAAGTTCAGTTTAATTTCAGACAAAATATGTTATCAAGGTCAAAAATCCAAAAAATACAATTTACTGAGTTAACAATTTACACGTTAATGTTGATTTGTATATTTTTTTGTTATCGGAGTCATTTATGAACGGGTAATAATGGTCCGATATTTTTCTTTATATATACATTAATTTACATGAAAAGTTTCGAATAAAATATTTATTTAACGTTTAAATGAAAACTACGATAAATGCTGAAACGTTTTCTTTTAGCTAAAACATTTTATTTTTTTAGAAAAAAAAATAATTACACAGAATTATGAAATCCCGTTTGTCCACTATATAAGTGCGTTGCGTTTGGGTAGACAAAATTAAAAAAGGTTTTTCTTTCTCGTTTTTTTTGCCTTCCAAGACACTGCCGAGCCAATTAACGATCTCGGTATTTAAGTAATTACCGTCGCTAATTGTTTAATTGAATGTGCAATTATGTAAACGACGACAATGCTCGACGTACCTGCTGTGAAGGGCGAGACGGCCTAAGGACGAGCTGTCGTGATCCGAATGCTAGAATTATATTTTTTGCTGGCCGTCAACGGCGTAACGCGATTATTTTGCTGTAGAAGAGAATTTCATTGAATTTACCCATTTGTATGAAAACTGTATTGCACGTTGGGCGTTGATCGTTTCGCGTACAATCCACCGGTTTAAGTACAGGATTGTTATTTGGTATATAGTGGTAACTTTTTTGACATTATTTTTAACAATTTACCGTTGTTACGGTTAGGTTTACCTTACAACCCACCTCCAACGTTTAAAGTACTACAATATTATAGTTGATCGTTTTGAAATCGTTCACTATTTCCCACCCCCCCCCAGCATAAACTAGTACTGCGAACGAATTCAGTTATTTTTCTTTTAACCCTTTCGTATAGTTTGACACGAGCCGGTTTTAAAATATTCATAATATTTACACGTCGCGTTAAATCTGTCCGGTGAATAATTAACGTTAAAAAGGGTCAAGTACTTGAAAGATATACATTACCGCGTCGAGGGCTAAGTGTTTTTTTTTTTTGTCAAAACTGTTGCCCGAAAATGCCCGTGGCCACTTGCGTGTCCGATTCGTGTGCAATGAAATATATATACATATATATTATATTGAAAAAATGTCCAGGAAAAGCCATCAAGTAAAATATCGAACACACAGTCAGTACCTGCACCATTGGACGGTGTTGCCCTGGCGTGCATACCATACTAATGCTTTTAGTGTAATTGCTTTTCTCAGAGTCAACGGCGGTTGCTTTTTAAGTATAACCCGCGGTGCACTGCCGAATTTATTTGCAAAAAGCGCTAGTGGGTTTTTTTTCTTCAGAAATACTTGTGTAATGTAAACACAAACACTCCAAAGCCGACAGCCACTAGTTGTGCAAACACACGTTGACAATGTGTTTATTTACATGTTTTGTATAATAATAATATTATGTAAGTGTTGTAAATGGGCTTGTGTTTTATCCAAACGTCGCGGTACAGCTGTTTGCGAACGTGAATATGAAATACAGAAAATACATATTCCTTATGGAGCTGGTGGTCGTCTGCATTGAAGAATAAAAATCAGTTTTTTTTTTAAACCCTCTCAAAACGTTTGTGTTGAGAACAGATTCAGTGCCGCCCAATTTACCTATACAACTCGTGCGCTGTCACTTGACTGAAACTATTGTAACACCTTGTCCTTTTTCATTCACTGTTCAAGTAGATATATTTTGTGACTTTGTGTGAAACCAAAAACTTAAAATAATACTGATAGCCAAAAAAAAGTCTCTATGAGGTAATTGTTTCATAACTGATAACACCACTAAATTTAACGATACAGAAGAACATCAAATTAACTATGTAAAAATTAGATTTAAAAACAATGTTTTTCAACAATCGACATACATTTTGTTATAAAAAACTGTTTATTGGATAGAAAGCAAAGAAGTTAAATTACATTTTGAAAAAAGCCATTGGTAGACGAATCTTGGGCTGCCGCTTTCGTCAGTGGTTTTGGTAGTGTGCGCGCAGAATCAAACGTGGTGGACAGGAATGTTGGTGCCGACGGCTTTGAATCCTTCGTGGCCCGCCGTGTAGTGGACGGACTGCACGTGGCCGTGATCGTCCACGTACGAATAGCTTCCCTTGGTCTCGCCGTCAGCCGATCTGGATTCGATTTTGGCCGATTCGCCGTCCGTGTAACCGTACGCGTACTGGCCGAGTTCGTCTTGAGCGTGGTACTGCGACTTGACGGCGGCAACGGCCGGCAATGGCGCGGGGGCGTAACTAACGTAGGGCGAGGGATAAGCAGCCGCGTAGTTGACGGAAGGCGAGGGATAAGCGGTGGCGTACTGGACGACGGGTACCGGATATGCGGCGGCGTACTTGACAACGGGATCGTGTCTGACTACGCTAGTGTAAGAAGTGGCGCCGTACGACGGGACGGCGTGGACAACGGGTGCCACGTGCTTGACGACAGGAGCTGGAGCCGGCGAGTACAGATAGTTCAAGCTGCGTCTCTTGCGGCTGAACAGCACGGCGGCGTGCGGCATCGCGTAACTCAATTTGGCAGTGCCCGCCGGCGTGAGTGCTTGAGAGTAATGGGCGACCGGGGCGGTGGCCAGATGACGGGCTTCGACCACGGTGGGAAGTTGGTCGGCAGGCTGGGCGACTGGCACGGCGACGGAATGAGCGGCCACAACGGGCACGGGAGCGGCGTTGGTGTCCACGGGGAAGTTGGTGCCGGACGCCCGGAAACCGTTGACCGGATCGGATACGTAAGCCACGGACTGAATCAACCCGTTGGCGTCTACGTACGAGTATTGGCCGCGAGTAATGCCGTCGGCCGTCCGCTGTTCGTGCTTCGAGGACAGATCGCCCGAGTAACCGTACGAGTACTGGCCCAGTTCGTCTTGTGCATGGTACTGATTGGTGACGGGCCCCAGTGGATAGGCCTGGTACGCGGCAGTGGAAATATCGGCCACTAGGGTGGTTAACGCCACTAACTGTAAACCCAAAAATAGAAAATAGGTCAACATTTTGTCCAAAATTAGTATCTCGTTTTTTACTACTTAAAATATATTTAATTTGAACTAAGTTACGGTTTTTTTTTTATGGATTTTTTGGTTCATTTATTTTGAAAACTTGCCCGTTTGCAAAATGCACAAACTATAAACATGATCGGCAAAAAAAATGTGGACTAATTTTAACTAGATTTGAACTTTGTTTGGCAATTCGAGGAAAATGCGTTTTTTGTATTATATCAGATGGTTTTTTTTTTTTGTTAGCTTTGACCTTTGGGAACAGTAAATCAATTATAATCCCCACGCTGATCCGACGACCGCGGTATACATATTTGATTATACATTGTTTTTTTGTTGTGTTTATTATTATTTTATAATACACTCGGCCACAACCAGTGACTGACAGTCGGAATGAAATCCATGCTCGCGGTTTTGGCGTTGTACCCAAATATATTATGATAAATGCAAAAGGATAACGTGAAAACGACTGTTGGTTTTTTTTTTGGCCTCCCCTATCCGATGCACGTTGACTGTATTTTTGTATTCGGTCAAAACCAAATGAACATGTATGGTGACGGCTCCATAAACGTCTTATAGACGGACAAAGTAATCGTGTACTTCCTCTCCTACTTCCGGCATTAGTCTGATAATTTTCGAAGACACTGTTTAATACACCCAGCGACAAAATGGTTTAAAATATTATTTCAAAAAAGTTTAAAAATGTATTAACAAAATAATATGGAAATGTTTTCTAATGCACGGCAATCTGTTTGTAAACGTTTAAAAAATTGTATTGCATACACAGTGTTACTTATTCTATGTATATATATTTTTTTTAGCGACCATGATAAACGACCGGCCTGATGAAAAGACCTAAACTTCCCAGTGTAGTATGACAATAACAATATAATATACACCGTGTTGATGGTGCGATTATCATTTACATTCTGTATATACATACATATATGTATACCGGGTATATTATTATGCCTACACACCTACACTGTGTGCCAGCGCACTTGAACTTATTTTTCTTCGGACGACCGTCGGGGTTTTTTTTTTTTTTTTTGAAAATCATACGCAAACATTATTCGCCCGTGTACTTAGGGCCGAGCCCGGGAAATAATATATTATTATAATGGCCCGGCCGTTATTATGTAGCGAGTCTCCAAGCCGGTTAGATTAGTTTTCACGGCACATAATCGAAAATAACACCCCACTTGCGTTTTTTTTTCTTTTTAGCCCCGAGTCGTTGAATAAACTATGACAAGTCGTTTACGCCGGCAATACGGATTTTTTAAATTTTCATCACCGTCCTCTCCTGTCGTTGTGTGCAGCTCGACATTTTTCACCGCCTCATACATACACCAAGCGAGAGCCGAAATAAAATCGTCAAGATTGATCTACACACACGTCTGACGGAATAGGCGGCGAGCACGTTTAAAAACATTATAGACGAAGAATTTAAGTGTATATTAGTGTGTTATTTTTTGAGAAAGAAAACCGCCTTTTTTTGTTGTTGTTGTTGTTGTTCTGCAAAAAGGAAAAAAATGATGTTCGGTGTACTTACCAACAAAACGGCGAAGTTCATTTTGAAGCGTTCGGATTGTGTATTGCTATTTCGGCGTTGCTATCGTCGTGGTCCTCTAGTGTAACCCTTTCAGCGTTTTTACCGGTGCGGTGACCACTACTAGGACTTTGGGGGGGAGGTGCACACGATAACAGCGAAATATTCAATTGGATCCAAACGGCAATCTCGACCGACTCGTTGTGGTTGCCCGGCCGGACCGTGGAGTTTATATATCGGTACCAATATTGGCAGTGACCTTCTCGTTATACACACACACACCAGGAAGTCGTCGACCGTAGGGCGTCAAGGCGATTGCCTTTCGCCGCCGGTCTGAACCGCTTCGCCCGGGCGCGGTCTCGCCCAGCAACCCTAGTCCGGCAATTAACGCACTGCCATAGCACTGCCACTTGTGTCCGCATGTACCGAACACGCCCGAGGGTATTAGACAGTCTGGAAATCCATATATATATATATTATATATGGAAACCGTAGTAGGTTTATGTTTGGTCGAGCCGGCTGCATTCAAACTGCTGATCCAATATATTTTGTTTTTCTCGGGCTATTGTCTGTTTGGCGCTAGCTAAACGTTGCTCATCGCCGGTGGTCGTTGCGGATCAAAACAAGAAGAGGAAGGGGGGTGGAATTTATCCAGTCAATCCTTAGAATTGGAGTTTTTACAAAAGAATTAAACCGATGTATTTGTGTACTCGTGTAATTGATTTAGTCGCGGCTTAATAACAATAAAATAAGAAAACATAAAAATTTGTTATTTGCCATCTTCACTTATGATATCATATAAATATAAACTTTTAGTCACTTAATTCTGCATAAACTGTGTTTATTTAAAAATCATAACATTCAACTTTAATAAATCGCCATGGTTTATAAGAACTACAAATTATAAAACAATTAATTTAAAAAAATCCAAGGTGGATGGATAATTTTAAGCAAATAAACGCGGGGAGAGGGGGTGGAAAATACTAAATAAAAGAAGTGGAAGGATGACATCCCCCCAGTTAAAAAAAAATCTATTCCCAGTAACAGTGTTGGGCAATATTCTAGTAATGATGTGTACTTAATAGCTTTATATTTCCATTTCCAACGACATCTTTCCAAACGCAGCCTTTTAGTAACTTAATAAATAAATATATTACAACAGCTATAATTGTTATTATTATTTGTCGGAGTATCACCACTGGGTGTTTTCTCCAATCAAGAAATCATAGCAAAATTATGTTTATCTACTTTATCACTTACGCTTGTTGTTCATAAAAATTGTATAGATTGTGTAGTATAAGTAATAATAAAAAAAAAAAAATTATTATTTGTTCATGCAGTAATGGATTATTATTACTTATATCATTTATATTTTGAAATGTAAATAAACCGCACCTGAATATGTATTAGGCGAGGTTTGAGTGATTTTTTTTTTTTTGTTAATGCAATTCGACTTATTTAATGACCTTCAAGTTCAACAGCAATACTACCGCGGTAGGTATTGTGAATAGATATTTTAATAATAATAATATGTAGATGTTTAATAATATTCTAATTCAATCAGGTTTTGTAATATGTATGAAAAAAGTTTTTAAACAAATTACCGGTCGTGGTCCATGCGCTCTTGTTTTTATGTGAAGTTTCATTGGCACTTTTAGTTTCAAAACAAAGCCATGGAAGTTTTACAAAAATTGTTTTATTTTATGTCTTTAGACGCTTTTTTTTTTTTATCGGGTTTCACTACATAGGTGAACATTTATACAACAGTTTCTTTATATTACCTACAAAGTCTCCGAACAAAAGTCGAACTCCCTTTTCGCCCTCCGACTAGCTAGATTTTTGAAAAACAAAATCATTATAATTTTACAATGAAAGTTTCGTCATTATTTATTTATTTTTTTAAATTGTATTTTGCGCAGTGTCAACAGTTGTTATATAAACCGTTAAGCAAAATTCGTCAGATTCGCCAGATTGGCCACCCTCGATGAACAGACTTGGACTTTGGTCGTGCTGAACTTTGAACTATCATATATTTTGTATGTGATAACATATTATGTCTGCTTCTTCGGGCGGTGCCAATCGATGATCGGTACAGGCTTGGTGCCTCGGTACTGCGGTTTAGGATAGGAAGGCGGTGCGAATGGGAACGTGGGTGGACAGATGGGGGGGGGGGTTGACAACGTTATGCAAATCGTTCCGCGGTTAAGAGATAATACACAAATAGCAAGGGGCGACGGGCCGATTGAATGTCAAAAGCCCGGGCACGAGCGGAGAGTCAACGTTGATCTGCCTTTCTTTTTTTTTTTTTCTTAACTCCCCCGACCCCCCCCCCCCCACTCGGCCTCCGGTCTTAAGTGCATTGTTGTGTACGTAACCGACGGGGAACGATATACGTTTCGATTGGATTCCACATGTACATAAGTCCCGAGTACCGATAAGTATACAGTGTAAAATATATTTCTATACAGATATATCACAAGGCGCGCGCGTGCACATATGATACTTGCCTTACACGGTCGATGCGATGGCGGAAATTCAATTATCAAAAAAAAAAAAAATAATACAAGCGCAAACGTTACCGTGTTTTTTTTTTTTTTTTTATTCTCCAGCAGAAGGTTATAGACGAAGTACAACTTGAAGAATGCGGGCGACCGGTGTCCATAATAATAATAATAATAATATTGTTATGTATACTCTTATCGGCTCGAAGCTAAAAAAAAAAAAAAACTAAATTGTAACACGGAAGCGCCGGTCGTAGGTAAATGGCTAATGGCAATTAATAGCAATTTCAATAACTAATAGTTTTTGCAACGATAAAAATGTACATTCGAACAGGGGCAGACGGCCGGAATTGGATGGGTTGGGAGCAAATTCTTACACGGGACAACGGACCTTGTGTTTTTTCTTTGTATAAATTAGAATAATATGCCGAATCCAAGCAGCTCTGACCGGCTATGGTTCAGTTTAAATCGTTACAGTTACAGCCACGCCGCTTTTATACCTATATATTGTTATTTCGACAAAACCGCCATAGGTATACACAGTGGCGAACAATAATTAGTGGATAAGTTTCGGTGTATTAAGTTATTAGCAGTAAACGCAAAAGCGCCTAAATAGATTTCTGTTTTTTTTGAGAAATTGTTATTTGGGAGAGACTAAAGTTTAAAAAGTCCACTTTATCTTTCTCGAGATAAACTCAAAACAATTTTACTTGTTATTCGTTAGTTTCACCTATCTGACGCGCGCTGTAACCAAGTGAAAAATGGTTGGACTAATATTCTTGTGGAACATATTCGACAGGCATGCCCTTATTTGTCTGATGGGTAGAGATGCGCGTTTCAAATCCATTAAAATTCCTCAACCCTTGTAGAAATCAAGTTGAAGTCTGAAGGGAAGCCAAGAAAGCCAACAGTTGGCCGATGTTCATGCCTGGAGCAATCCAATTGAATTGTACAACAGTCTTGGGGATTTTACACGGGAAGTATTGGAAATCTGTCCTTGTAAAAACAGTAGTTTTTGAGGATTTTGAAAATGACAAAATCGGATTTTTTAAAAATATTATATTGACAATCTGAACCTAACCAAAGCATTTTGGCCACGGTACGAGTACGATTTTATAATAAGTACCTTAAACTGGAATAATAAATTGTTGTTTTGCATAAGACATGAATATCGATAATCCGGGCGAGCAGACAGAATTAACAAGAACAGACAATATTATTATAGGTATGTTTTGTGTCTGGCCGCTGATGTGGATGATTTTTTTTCTTCAAAGTTAAACCGCGTTATAAGTGCAACGAAACTAACCAGGCGTAATGCATTCGATAAGAATTTCCACGCGTATATATTATATATTATGTTAAATGGAAAACGAAAGAAATCATCCGAGAAAATGTTTTCCTGTAGGAATTGCGATTTTGGACAGCTCATAAAAGCACTTCACGATGGAATACAATAAATAAATGAGCGTGGAGCAATGAACTCTAAATCGCGCTGTATACACTTGTGATCGAAAACTTGTTTTGTTTTAAAATAATATTGTGTGCTCATTCGGATGTTACAAATTCAATTGATAATTTACATAAACGTGTGTATAAATTCGAAAACCATTGTTTTTTTTCGCGGTAGCTTTAACACACGTTAATAATGAATTCTTGTTTTGACAGTTTGACATTTTGTTTGACAGTTCCCCGAGTTCATGAATATGACTGGATCCGTTGACGGTGATAAGTGTCTGTGAGAGATTATGAGAAAAACGTTGAGTAGACGTGTGACGGTTAATTGGCATCCTCGCCAGTTGCAGCTGTACGACAATATAACAATATTATATACCTATTTAGTAATTTAATTAAATCCCCTGGTGTACGGTTATTTTACTTATTTTCCAAAATATATATATATACAGTATGATCCATCTAATGTAAGACAGTCATGTTCTCGGCAGTTACGTATTTTGCTGTATTTTTCAATACTTAGGACATTTTTATCTTCAGCCCTTGTGCGTAAAATAAGTATGGACTAGATTTTTTTTTTCTAAATATGAACATATAATTTTGACTCCATATGTATGTAGACAAAAATTATTGATACAATTTTTGGAAATCAGATTTTTTTTGGGAGGCAACTCGGATAAAAAATGCGCCCGATTTTTCATGCTTTTACTTGAGCCCGTTGATATAGTCAAACATTTAAGTATTATAAAGAAAAATAGACAGCTGTTTATTAATTGTTATACAGTATTCATTGTTTACGAATCATAACGAAATTCATCACTTCATTTTTGGATAATGAAAAAATATCTAACAATATATTATTAGGCTTACCTAGACCTGAGTACAAAAGTACTTAATTTATTTTAATTATTCATAAATATTTAAGTGAAAAATAATTTATATGTATTTTATTTGTACTAATTTTACAATACACGAGGGGGGGGGCGATAAATATTTATTTACATTGGGGCCGTTGGCCTTCAAGTTCCAAACCACCTATTTGTTAAGGAGTATAGAGTATAGACAACTTTTCTACAATATTCTTAATACACCATTTAGGCATATTGTAGAGGGAATTAGTCAATAAAACTCAACGTCAAGCTAAAATGTGTGTGTCCACATGCTAACATAGAAAAGAAGCATACTTGATACAAGATACAAACAATTAGGAGAAAATGTGTAAGATTTAAATTATTGCCCGGGGGCCTCCAAAAACTTAACCCGGTTAATATTAATATTA